TGCTGATCTGGTTCCGATTAATAAACTTAGCAAGTTCAAATAACAAGACAACAGAGGATTACTGATGGAGAATAATTCATCTTTGAAGGCGCCTAGCTTGATTTACTTGCAAAGAGGTTTACAGAGAAGATAGATTTAGATTTAAAGAAGAGATTTAGATGGAGGAAGGAAAATGTGTTGACACATAATGGCACCCTTCTTTCGACCCCAGCTCAGCCCTCGGTACACTCAGGGTGTGACGACTCTTTACCTTTGCAGAAGATAAATCAGCTCCGGTACAGAGGTCCATTTCATGCTCCCTTTTCAGCGTCTCCGGTCAGAGTGGCTGGTAATCGTCTGAAGTAGTGACGGTACTCCGTTCAACAGAATAAGCTTCCTTAGAAGTTGAGAGCATTTAATGCTCGGGGTGAGTTCACAGCGATGCATGCTGTGACTCCACTGAAATGGAGGGACCCTTGGCACATGGTCCAATTCATCAGATTTTTAGTTCAGCTGTAAGACTCCAGCAAGACTGCAGTCCCAGCCAGAACTCCAAACAGACTTTCAGTAAGAACTGAAAGTTCCTGTACGACTCGCCGTAAGACTGAGTTTTCCAGTAAGACTGAGTCTCATCCTAGACTGAAAGTTCCAGGAAGACTCGTAAGACTTAAAGTTCCAGGAAGTGTTGACTTTTAAAGGGTATCCACTTCCTGTTATTTGCTACTTCCTGATTGGTTAACACAACCAGCAGGGGTGGAGTTTTTGTGATGTCAGAGGGTTATTAGAAGTCAACAGACAGCAGAAATGTTTTTAAGAACGGTTAGTACAGACAGGAAAATATTTTGAAGAAGTGAGACTCGCAGGGGGCAGCACGGTGGCACAACAGGTAGATCTGCTGCCTCTCAGCGAGCAGGTCCCTGGTTCAAACCCCGGTCCAGGGGCCCTCTGGGTGGAGTTTGCATGTTCTCTCCGTGCATGCGTGGGTTTTCTCCGGGTACTCCGGTTTCCTCCCACAGACCAAAAACATGCATGTTAGGCTGATTGGTAACTCTAAATTGTCCCTAGGTGTGAGTGAGGGAGTGAATGATTGTTTGTCTCGTTTGTCTCTATGTGGCCCTGTGATGGACTTGCGACCTGTCCAGGGTGTACCCCGCCCCTCGCACAGTGATTGCTGGACATGGGCACAAGCGACCCCCGTGACCCAAAATGGAATAAACAGGTAAAGATAATGGATGGATGGATGGATGAGACTCGCAGGTGCCAGCCAGTTCCTTATTTACTGTCAGAGTTTTAAAACAAGGCACTTCGTTCTCATAACTTGTTCTGACTTTTGACCAACATCAAATCCACTCCTCATTCAGACAGAAGAGTAAATCACAATTACTTTGTAAATAGACATTTAACTTGTATGATCTAAGTCTAATGAGGTTTAAAAATCATTAATACTGTTTCACAGTTGATTTAAATGAGTGGTTTACTTCAACATTAGAAATGGTATGAACTAAACACACTTTTGATTATCAAGATATTGTAAAATAGTAATGATAATATAAAAAAAAGAAGAGTGTTCTTTCAATTGATTGAAGGTCTTCAGAGACAGATTGATGTCGGAGGTCTAGTTCACTACAAGTGTATATCTTAGATCCTTTAGTCAGCAGCTCATAACACCACATACATTCCTATAAATATTTGGGTATCTTGGTCAACTCGCATCTCTCTTTTAAGCTCCACGTGGAAAACCTAGTAAAGAAACTGAAAGTTAAACTGGGTTTCTTTTTCAGAAACAGATCCTGTCTAACTTTGAAAGCTAGGAAACGCCTTGTATCTGTGACTTTCCTTCCCTCCATTGATTACGGTGACATTATTTACATGAACGCTCCTACAAGCACCCTGCAGATGTTGGATGCTGTCTATCATGGTGCACTAAGATTCATAACTGGCTGTGATTATCATACCCACCACTGCACCCTGTATTCACTGGTTAACTGGACATCATTAACTTCACACAGACTCTCCCACTAGTACATTTTCATCTTTAAATCACTTCTTGGTCTGCTGCCTTCATACATCTCCTCCTACATGTCTCTGCGTGAGTGCAGCTACAGCGTGCACTCTCAGGGCAATATTACTTGCAGTGTTCCCTCAGTGCTGACTGAACTTGGCAAAAGGGTCTTCTCCTACTCCGCTCGTTTCTTGGAATATCTTACAAAAAGACCTGAAACTCTCGACAGTGACCTCTCTCGCTTTAAGAATCTGTTGGACTCCTGGTAAGGACCAATGCAGACATGTTCCTGTTTTTAGTTTTCTACATTCACCTTAGAATCTAGCTGTTTTGCTATTTTTTGCCATCTTCTTTTAATTTGTATAAAAAAATCTGTATGCCTCTTTTATGATTGTCTTTTGTTGTCGCTGTTGTCCATTGTTGTCATCATTCTTTGATGAAATCAGGTCTCTCTTGTAAATGAGTCCTCGAGACTCTATGGGATTAACCTATCTAAATAAAGGTTGAATGAATGGATCATAACATCGCTACTTCCTCGACAACCTATACAAACTACTGGTGGTAGAATGTGGCTGAATTGCAGCAAATTTGTAAAACTTTTAGTGCGAAGGCAATAACGATCCTGCACTGCCCTTTGTACTCACCAATACATTTGTTTCTGATGTTACCCACATTCTCCAGATAATCCTGCATCTGGACCACCCTCTACATGCCCACCCCGAATGCATCAGGCTGTGTGTGTGCAATATTGAGTCTTGGTTGGCTACTATAAAAGAAAAGGGATTATTTTCTATTTTGAATTAGTTTGAGTTCTTATTTTCCGTACGGTTATTGTCAAAAAATAGCTGACAAAACCTGATATAAATGTGTTTGTCATGATGACAATGATGTTTGGATGTGGTGTATCATGGAGCTAAGCGTTCACCATCTGTAATTTACTCCAGAATGTTATATTTGTAACATTTCTTTACAGACAACATTGTTTTATGGATGATCATGTTTTGTAATTTGTAACTACAGTACAGAAAGCGGACATAATGTTAAAATTCCTAAAAATATTCAAAATATCATATTTGCATTTGTTGAAACAAATTTCATGTAACAAATAAATAAAACCACCCCTGATTATTGCTGTACAACTGGCTGAAGTGAATCTAAGGGTCAACAATATAATCAGCCTCGTTCACAAAACTAATATTGGCTGGTGTTTTGGTCCTGATCCAGATCTGGATTTAGACAATCCCTGTTTCAGAGCTTGGCTGCAGCCTGACTCAGTCCAAGATTTCTGTGTCCCAGATCACGTACAGAGGGAGCTGAAGAGGATCAGGGATGCAGGAAACAGCAGGAAAAGCCTGGTTGGTGAAGTTTTCCCAGTTTGTTGCGGTCCAGCCACGTTCTAACTGGTGTGCAGGTCATGGAGGGTGTAGCAGGATCATCACCTGGTGTGAACGGAGCCAGAGGTTGGAGTGTTATGGATCTGGTCTCCTGATGTGTTGTTGATCTCCCTCAGGTGAACCCCATCAAACCTGATTATAAAAACTTTAAGGAGACGGGTCAGGAACTTCAAGCTCGGTCTCCTCTCTTCACAGCTCCTGTTGCTGCTCGTTGGAGAGTTTTTCCATTTTATAATAAAACTTTCTTTGTCGTCTCAGGTTTTGAAACACCGGTTAGTCATGTTTTTAGTTTTTGATTTTGTACAGGTCGGTTGGTTTAGAGTTCAGGTTACAGGAAGGACACCAGAACCTACCACACCTTTGTGGGGCTGCTCAGACTGTTTTCCCTCCATTTTATTATTAGCTTATTAATTTTGATAGATAAACAAGTCAAGTATTTGTTTTTTAATAAAAAATTTCCAATCAGTTTCAACCATGACTGTTGTTTGCATTGGTCCTCTAAAGCTAACGATAAATTTATACATCATGGGAATACTCGAGGTTTGAACTATTTATAATGCATTTTATTTAAATACATGAATATTCTTTTACATTTGTTGGGGTAATTTTAAAAACTATTACCCAAGTATTGGAGTACTTCACTTTAAATGGTAAATGGACTGTACTTATATAGCAACTTTCTATCTTATTTCAAGATACTCAAAGCTCTTTACACTACAATCTCTGCCTCATTTGCCCATTCATACAGCACTCTACTAGATCTCTACAAAGCCAATTGAACAAATCATTCTAAAAAGAGACTAATCAGCACTTTAGTACTCGGGAACTTCTCAGCTACATTATTATTTGAGATTCAGTTTTCTTCTGCATGTTTATCAGCTCATAACTCGTGTTGTAATTTTTGTTCTATTTCAACATTTCATGTTTCAAAACGTTGGGCTCGTTCAGGACGTTCCTGCAGGGACTTTTGGTGTTTGTGAAGTTTTTACTTATTCCAATATTTAGCTTTTTCAGCCATATTTTTATCATTGAAAATGAATGGATCTCTCAGACTCTGTGCTGTTTGAATATTTTACTGCTCATTTCAGCTTTTTTCAGTTTCTTTGTGCTGCCGCATGCAGCCGCCGTGCTGCTTGGTTCACCTTTTTTCAGCAATTTTTCTGCTCCTAAAATCAGCTGTTCTCTGTTTTTTCAGCAACTTTGTTTTAAGTATTTTTCAGCCAATTTGAGCTTTTTTCCTGCTGTTCTCGCTCATTTCCTCCTTTTGTACTTTTTTCTAATAATTAAGAAATAAACACTTTACATGTCAAGGGACTTTTTCTGTTCCCTTCAGCCTTCCTGTGCCTATTTCAGCTTATTCTGCTCTTTTCTACACATTTCTGCTGTTTTTCTTCTGCTTTCCCCTTTTATCTTTGGGTTTTCAGCAAATGCCCGATGCACAAATTCAACTTGAAATAGCAGTTTTCAGCCTGGTGTTAACTTCTTTCAGCAATAAACCTGAATTTACACAGGAAGTGACATTTGTCTAGGGTTAACTGAAGTTGCTCATTTTGGAGTTAGAGAAAACCTTGAAATTGGAATAAAAACACAGTATTTTACAGGAGGCAGACTGACTTGAAACACACCTGTGTTTGGATCGTAGACATTATTTTCATTCACAAAGATTTTGTTGAACTTGATGGTTTCAGGCTTCTTCATCGGACGCGTCAGAGCAGCAGAGAAAGAAAGACGGGGTACGTGGGCGTCAGAGCCTGGGAGGCCTGATAACAAACAGAGTTAGTGGGATTTAAAAATCAAAGAGCATGGAGGGCTTTGATCTCGTGTTTAGTAACAACACACCTTGTTCACCTCGGAAACCTGAAAGTGAGATGAAAGACAAAAAGATCAAAGGCAACACGTGAAAAACACAAACAGTATGTGAAGCAGTAAACAACATCAGGTTGTTTTTGTTTACCTGGGGGCCCCACTGGTCCCTGCTTGCCTTCTCTGCCTGGAGGTCCCATCCTCCCTTGCAGCCCGACAGGACCCTTGGGTCCAGGCTCGCCTTTCTCTCCTCGAAGCCCTGGTGGACCTGAAGAAGTGGAGAGTTTAAAAATAGCCCACATGAACCCTGTTTAGAGATGTGTCTTAGAAAAAGTCTAAAAACAAGAACATTAGGCCGAGGAAGTCGAGACCTTTAACCTGTTCGTCTCAGGACATGCCTTCCACACAGATGTTACTACAAGCTCTCCTTCAGACTGACAGAACACTTTATGGCCTCTCAGGTGGGCTCTTTCTTACATGACTGGATTCTTTCCTGGCCTCATGCCTTCCAACAAATGTGTTTTCTTGACAAAAGGTTAAATCCCATGGACCCCATCCTCTCTCACTCACCAGTAACGTTCGAATTCCTGAAAATATGGAACTGCCTTCCCAAGTCCAGCACTGAGGAGTTCAGCTGATGTATTCTGGAGTGGACGTTCTCCAGCTGGACCGTCTGGATGTCGTCAATGAGACCTCGGTGAGACGTCATCGTGGTATTGAGTTCATTGACGCAGCTCCACAGGCCGGACACATGTCTGTTCAGGCCCTCTTTGAGCCTCCCCAGGCTGTCGGAAAATGAGTCCAGGCGGACACAGACCCCCTCCAGCTTGGAGAGTCTCTGGTCCAGGCCGTCGCTGGACCGCCAGCACTCCTGCACCTCTGTCACATAGTTATTCCTGATGATGTGAACCTCTTTGTCCAGATTTCCAAACCGAGCCTTCGTGTCGTCGACATGCTCTGCCAGCTCATTCTGCAGGTCGCTCACCTTGGAGACACCAGAGAAACGTGTTGATTTGTTTATATTCAGTAGTTTTTATGTCAAATATAAATGTTCTTTCCCCTCCAGAATTTCACACACAAACATGTACCTGTATCATCTCTGAGTTATATCTGTAGAATTTAATCTCAGCTGTTTATACCAATATCAAAATATTTTCATAGCTACAATAAGTTGATGTGAAGACGCTAACAGATTGTTGTTTTTACTGAGTAAAAAAGATTCATGTTTAAGATGAACAAAGAGAACATCATTTCCTTTGTTCTGGCCAATTTCGAGTCTGATCTAAGCCGAACCTCTGCCACGTTTCAGACGAGACGAGGTGGAGATGAAGGAACTTCGGCTCTTTAAGTAAACTTACAGATTCTCATGTAAACTATTAGTTTGTATTGATTCAAGGCATAGTCTCCTCAAATTATCGAGGTGGTCGAAGAATAATCTATGGTGACCAAGGCCCTTTGGTCCCCCCTGGCTCCACCATTCCTCCTGGTGGGGGATAAAATGTCTCCCTTTACTCGCCAGGATGCATCACTCTGCTCTACCTCTGTTCTTCTCCACAGTGTAACTCCTCCCCACTTGAATATCTTGAACCAAAAATATTTACAGTAGGTTTTCTTACATTCCCCTTTCAATCCCAGTCCAGAAAAGCGCTCGTTCAAAACTACAAACATTCATTCTTCAGATCCCTCTTTGACGGGGGACATTGGCGTCCCTTTACCAAGACCCTCCAAAATAAATCAGCTAAAACCGATTTTTAAAGTTGTAGCTGTGAAGGGACCTAAGAGATGTTAAGTCTCAACAACTTATGTCAGGGCTATTCAACTAAACTGCTCAGGGACCGGACATCCAGTGATTAAACTCATTATGTAAATAAACCAAGAATTACTTTTTAAATGTGTTTATTTTATTGCATTGAATCATAAATGTGACAAACAGAACCCAAAACCCAAACCCAGGCACCCCCCCCCCCCCCAAATAAAAAAAAAAGAAGTCACCCGCGGGCCACCAGTTGAATAACCCTGATTTAGTGTGATCAGTTTTGAAGCAGATTGCGACACCATCAGCTTACCACAGAGACGGTGTTGTCCTTGCTGTTGGTCAGATCTGTTAGTGTGTTGCCATGTGTCTGTAAGGTACTTCCCAGGTTCTTCAACGTATTATTAATTGAGTTAAAGTTGACCATAACCTCTGACAGCTCTCCTTGGATGGACTTCAGATCACCTCCTAACATTCCACTGTGGAAGGTATGACCATCCAAACGCTTCTTCAGATCATCGATGTTGATCTTGCACTGCCCTGTACACTCCTCCATGTCTTCTCGAAGTCGTCCCACTTCCTCCTGAAGGTTGGAGCAAACCTGTGAGCAGTAGGATTCGCCTGACTCGACCTTCCTCCGCAGATCTGTCAGGTCTGTCTGGCACCTGTGGAGATTGTTCTTGGTGAAGTTGGAAAGCGAGTGTAAGTTCTGCTCTATCCTGCGGCAAACAGAGCAGTCCTCAACGGCCCGGCCCAACGTTTCCACCTCTGTGACGATCCGGGTAAAGCGCTCACCATTCTCCCCTGTCAAAGCTATGATCTTTTTGACATTTTTGTTTAAATTGAGCACCCTATCAATCAGTGAGTCTCCTGTCTCAGACAGATTTCTCAAAGTGCTGTTAAATCTCTTGATCTCCTCCTGGTTGGACACAACCCTCCATTGCAAGGTTTTCACAGTCTCATCAGCTGTCCGCTCATTTCCGTTGCGTCCACATGTCTCGTTGCACATGTTAGTGGTCAACGTTAGCCTTCTGTCAAGGAAGGATGTGATGTTCTCCAGGTGGCCTAAACGTATGATATGGTCTGTCACGGTGTCTCCAAGAACGGCCACTTCCAACTCTATTTTTCCAATCTTGAAGGTGTGGTCATCCAGCTGACTGAGAACGATGTTACGCAGCTGGGTGAAGTCCCTCTGGATGGAGTCCTTCGCATTGTTTCCAGTGTTGGTACATTTCTGTTCCGTCTTCCTCACCGTGTTATTCAACCGCTTCTCTATTTCCCTCAGCTTGCTATTGAACCGGTCTTCAGTAACCCGTCCCTTTCCTCCCCCTGTCCCCACAAGCTCCTTGTCCAGCCGCCCTTTTATGGTGTCACACTTGTCTGATGTGGACGTGAGTTGAACGTCTACATCAGTGAGCCTCTTCTCCAGCTCGGTGACCGTGTTGCAGCAGGCTTGGGACCGTTCGATTTCACTGCGGGTATTTTCCAAGTTGTGGGTGAAGTGCTGGTTCATGGAGCCAATCAGCTTCTCCAGGGCACTGAGTCGGTCCCTGTCCTTTGCTTGCTGCCGTCTTAGGTCCTCTGCACCAACCTGGAAGGAAAGACCACAATGAGATCCAGACCAAGGGGTGAAGGTTTTAAACCAAGTTGTGTCCTAACCATCAGAGTTTCTACAGACGTGGAGATCTATGATACAACACCCCCCCACCCCCCAAGACATCCAACATTGAAAGTCTTCAACATAAAATAACATGTTTACATGAATCTACTGTAGCTTCCATAACAGGTGTGTGTGTGTGTGTGTGTGTGTGTGTGTGTGTGTGTAAGATGAGGTGTGTATGTGCACAAAAAAGGAGGGGAGCTAAAAAGAGGGATTATTGTATATCTGGTAACACTGATGCAGGTTTCAAAGAGACCTGCAGTTGCAGCATGAGAAACAGAGCAGTTACATCCAAAGTGGTGACTACAGGAACCTTCGTTTGGACCGAGGCTGAGGCTGAACTGCTCCTGCAGGGTGAGACTGGTGAGCAGCACCATCAGAACTGCTGCTCACTGTTGGTGGGGTTAGGGTTCTGCACCTCATGCTAGTGCAGAAAAACTGTTAACTGCAGCTGCAGAAGAGAACACAGCGATTTCACACCGCTGTGGGGGTGGGGGTTCCCAAAAACCTCCACCGTGAGACCTGGACTCAGAAACCTTCGGTCGAGGAAACGAGCACCGTTGTTGAGTACACAAATGGCCGAACGCTGCAGGAAAGCTCCAGTTTCACTCAAAACCTGTGTCGTGCTTACAGTTCCTAATAATAACTGAATATTGACCAAAGAATTCAAGAATAACTTTAGCGTGAAATGCCCAACCCATTTCCAGTAGAACCAAGTAGCTTTATTGAATACATTTCTAAACATTTATGCAGCTTTGGCTCTACGACCACAACAAACGATTCATAGGGAAGATGGAACATTCAGAGGAAGATAGCAACCAGGCAGACATTCAGGATCTGAACCAATCAGAGGCAGCAAAGGTCTTCTGTTGGAGGGGAGCAGTAAGACATTTCTGTCATCCATTCTGCTCACTTCCCCTCATCCACAACTGAAAAGTCAATGGTTACAGAAATACCAGCAGCAAGCCAAATGAATGATGCCCAGATTAAACCCAGTATAGTTGAGCCCCTCCAGGCCAGAATACCCTTTGATATACCCAAACAGTCATGATCTGGCCTGGGGAGTATGAATGGGTGTAGACCATGGTATAGCAGGGGTATAGTCTAGCCTAAGCCTCTTTAAGTCCAGGTGTTGTCTGGACTGGGGGTGTACTACGGCTTGTTGCACCTGCATGATGATGGGAGCATTCAAACCTGTAACTACAACAAAAACAAATTCACTGACATGAAAAATGATTCCTGGAAACTGAAGCTCCCAGGAACTCAAGGAAACATTTAATGACTGTAACGTCATGTTAGAGTAACATGTTTACATGATGTTCAACAGGTGACATGGAGCTGCATGGTAGCAGCGATCAAACATCATCCTGCCAAATATGCTTTCACTGATGGGTACCTGGCAGGCAGAGCAGGATAGAGACACTCTCCTCTCCAGCTCTGTGAGTATGGCCTCCTTCAGTGTGTTCAGCTGGTTCACCCCTCCTCCACCTCCTCCAACAGTCCCTCCATCCAGTTCGTTGCCTCGTCCGTTCACCAGGTGGTTGTTGATGGTGAGCAGGGTCTGATCGTGGACCTGAGCAACAAAATGAACTCAGTTCATCTGTGACGTGCTTCATTTTGTCATGTTTACAGGGCAGCATCTACTTTTTATCTCTGTGGGGTTTTGTTATCAGAACAAGTTAAAGAAAATATTCAGTTCCTGTCTCTTGAAAACTTAAATGAGCTCATTATAGCATTCTATAAACAACAGCAGGATAAATATTATAAAATGTAAGATTTCTAAAAATAAAACCAGGGGCGGGCAGCACGGTGGCGCAACTGGTAGAGCTGCTGCCTCTCAGCGAGCAGGTCCCTGGTTCAAACCCCGGTCCAGGGGCCTTTCTGGGTGGAGTTTGCATGTTCTCTCCGTGCATGCGTGGGTTTTCTCCGGGTACTCCGGTTTCCTCCCACAGTCCAAAAAACATGCATGTTAGGCTGATTGGTAACTCTAAATTGTCCCTAGGTGTGAGTGAGAGAGTGAATGGTTGTTTGTCTCGTTTGTCTCTGTGTGGCCCTGTGATGGACTTGAGACCCGTCCAGGGTGTACCCCGCCCCTCGCACAGTGATTGCTGGACATGGGCACCAGCGACCCCCGTGACCCAAAATGGAATAAGTGGGTAAAGAAAATGGATGGATGGATGAAAACCAGGGGCACCGCTAACGGGGATTCCAAGGGTGGCAATGGCCACCAGAAAATAAATTTGTGGTCACCCCAGCGGCCCCTCCTTGACCAGATAGTTTAATCCTTTCAGGTCCCAAGCTTTGATTAGTAGAACCTCAGTTAAAGTTTATGCAGAATACATTTCTTACGTGTATAAATATAAATCTAACTTTTCTGTATTTTTATTCCCAGCTTTAGACATTTTTAACATTTTTTTGTTTACAAATGTACGTAATGTTTATTTTGTGTATATAGCAACAAGCACATAAAATGTAATTATAAGAAATAGTGGCTTTGAACTTAAGAAATCTCTGCTTGATGCTTGCCAATGATTTGATCCTTCTCAAACAGACTGACATCTTTTCCACGATCACACAATGTGTCTTTCCACATGGTTGTTTAAGAAATGAGAAGCAACTCATTGCACAGTCGGGGTCAAATAACTTGTTGCCAGCTAAAAGATAATCATCCATGCAGTAATTATCCAATAGGAGGCTCGTGCCTATTTGTTTAGTTAAATCCAGGTGACAACTTTTTTTTGGCCAGGCATTGTAGAACTTTACTAATTGGCTTTTCTATGTATGTGAATGCTTCTGTTCAGTGCGCATCTCAACAGTCAGAAGTCATCTCAGACTTCTGTTGTGATTTGGTACTATAAAAAAAAAAACTGAACTGAATTGCTATTTTGACAAATTAGTGTCATTGTTTTGATACGTAATGTGAATAATACAAAAACATTTCTCTCGTTGCATTTTTAATCAATAATCAACATTTTTATTAATGACCCACTTAAACTGTAATTGACTTTCAGTTTAGTTTTGCTGATAAAATCCTGTCCTTACAGAGGAGCTCACATTTAAAAGCAAAGCATTTGGTGAGCTGGACCTGATCTGTTCCCTCTTCTTTGGTTCTTTGTGTCTTATTGAACAAATTTTGGTACAGCCAAGACAGATTTTGATACAATCCAATATATATAAAACCCGTAGAGTTTTTTTCCCATAAGTCTACCCTCACAGTGAGGACAGGTTACCTGTGTTCTGTTATAGAGCTGATCCAGCTTTGTCTGGATGCTGTTGATGGTCTCCTTCATGTGTGGCTGAGCTGAGTCTGCAGCGATGGAGGCTCCGCTCAAACCATGCCTAAAAAACAGGTTTACAGTTTTGTCCAAAATGTAATTTAACTTTACACATTTCAGAGTTATTTAGTAGAAAACAGCAGGGTAAGCATGACATCATCGTTCTACATTAGAGAACGAGGACAAATCCTACATGAAGCTGTTGTTTCTTTGTCTTGTTGAAAATGGACCATTTCTGACTCCACTCTGTATATTTGAGTAAGAAGGCCTCCCCCAGTACACCCATCACATCATAAACAGTGACACTCGTTAAATAGTTCAGCGAGCTGAACGGCGAAGCTGCAAGAAAAGTAGCGTTTGTGTTTGCTGGACTTCTTTAAACGAGCTTCCAGCATGCAGGTGAACATAAAACGTGCACATGATGGAAGGAAAACAGTGTTCACATACAGCCTTTGGTTGATGCCATGAATGGTGTTCTGCATGTTGTGGAGGTTGTTGGTCAGACCACGGATGGTATCCTCCAGCTGCCGGATCCGGTCCGTGTCCCCTGAAAGAAAAGACAAAGGAAGACCAGTTGATGTGGGACTGAAATACAGAGGCTTGGACAAGTCCCCCCCCCCCCCCCCCGGGGTCTTTCTCTTTTGTTGCCTTACAGCCTGGAATTTAAACATGTTCAGATTGATTAGAAGTACTGAGGAAAAGCAAAACACTCCAGAACTATGAACTATAATGACCCTGGTGGAGCTCAGCTGTTCTGCAGAGATGGAAGTATTTCTTCATAGCTCCACTATAAGCTAGACTCATGGTGGAGGGACAGAAAAGTGAACATTTCATGTAGACAAAATTAAGGCAAACTGTTTGGAATTTGCTAAAAGATGCACTGGAACTCCCCACAACCTGTGGAGGAAGGTGCTGTTGTAGTGAACCTGATCTGGCCCTGATCTGACCCTGATGACCTCAAATCTATCAGATGGACAGAGACTGTTATTTCATCTGATGACTTTCTTTCTTGAATTAATCAAGCAGAAAAGACAATCCTCTATAATCATTACTGTTTTACAAATGTTTGATAATCAAATTGTGTTAGTTCCATTCAATGCTTACAGGTTGAAAAAGAACTACTCATTTTATTTTACATAAACAGTAAGTAATGATTTTTATTCCTCATTCAAAGAAGAAATCAGGTTAATATGCATTTCTTGATTTTCTGTCTTCAATGAGCAAGCTGTCGTAAGTATGTGAAAGTTGAAGCTTCGGTCAACTAAATGTTTACTGAAAATGGGATGTCATGTTTTACTATTTGGAAAGATACAACAGAGTGAGGCTCCAAAAAGTCTGCTGTTTCTCCAATAATCTTTTCTGTCTGTAAAACAAATTCATTCCCTGACCTCGACTTTTGATAATACCTTACGTCAAAAACCACACCTCTTTCTGGTCCATCCACGAATCAGAAAGCTCTAAAGTAAACCCGGAAGTAAACTCATTTAAAATGTGAGAACTTCTCGGTTCTGTTAGAGAGTTGGAATCTGAGAAGAGAGTTGGAATCTGAGAAGAGTTGCTGACAATGAAGAGTTGCTGAGAGTTAAAGAATGAAAGGAGTTCAGAGTTCTTGGATGCAGAACGCGTTCAGGATGATTCAGAGACGTCTTGGAATTATAATTTCTGTTTGAACGACCCACGCACGACTCTCCAAGGATTTTGGCTGTTCTCAACGGAGACGCTGATACAGTCTGAAGGATTCTTACTGAGCTGATTATCGTCAAACCAGGTAAAGGCTTCTTCTTCGACTAAAGTGTACCGTGACCAAGCTGAGACCTGACAGAGCGTGCAAATTTCTGGTCAACAGATATTAATTTCCTCACATATTCCTCTGTAAGATAAATCTCCATTTCATCTTAAACTCACCTCTCTCTCTCATAAATCAGTACAGATATTTTAGAAATATCTGAAGCAAAGTCCTCAAATCACCGCCGCGTGATTTGAAGTTCATTATTTGTGAAACTTGTCTGTTATTATTTTCATATTTTGCCAAATTAATGTAAATGTTTGATGTTAAACTTTGATTCTGAAAATAAATGACCACATTCATTTGATGGGTCAAAGATAATAACGTCTCTCGTTCGCATTTCTGTTAAAATTCAATGCACGACATTACACAGTCAGAAAGATGAGGAACTCGTGAATATTGTATGCATATATCTCATATATTGTCATACTACAACTAGTGGCACGTACCTAAATGACTCACTACACTGTGGTCAGCCGAGACTAAAACTGAACCTGTCAATCAAACCAAACAGCTTTCTGTCACGAATCACGTCCCATAGATTATATTTTCTGTCACCCTGATCACCCTTTACTGTTTGCAATAGGTCTTTTCTGTAAGTTTAATTTATTCTATCCACTCTGGTAATGTTTTTTTATACATTTATAGATTGTACATTTATTTATACAAGATCATCTGAGACTGTTAGTGGTCCTCCACATTCTGACTTTTTGCTCTTCACTATCTCCTGCATGACCACTAACTGATCTCTGCCTCATAGACGCGTTCCTGATCCGGAAGCAGAACTCGAACCAGAACCCAACCCAGAACCGGTCTAATCTGCAACACTTCATCTTGAAAATAAATATTGTTTAATTTTGACCTTGTATGGTGATTTTGGTCCAACCGTAAGGTGGTTCGTTACAGAACTACCGGGCCAGAATGGACCACTCACCACCAGCAGATTGGCGCTTCGGAGTAGAAGGAGCTATTATGAAGTTGGAGTCTGGCATGGAGGACATGGTCCGCATGCTTAAAAACTTAACCCCTCAGACTTCCATTCAGGACTCAGTGGTGGTTAGACCCCACTCTGAACCCGTCAGGGAGCCAAGATTGACCTCACCTGAACTTTTCACAGGGGAACTGGACCAGTGTCGTCCATTTATTACTCAATGCGAGATCCACTTTGAGCTACAACCATCCTCTTTTCCTTCTGATAAAGCTAAAGTGGCATACATTATTTCTTTATTCTCAGGCAAAGCTAAGAAGTGGGAAACTGCTGAATGGCAGAGGGACTATACTAACATTTACTCTCTCCAGGTGTTCACTAAGGAACTCTGAAGGGTGTTTGACCCAGTTCTCCCAGAGCGTGAGGCTGCCAGATGGTAATTCTCCATAAAACAAGGTAATAGGAGAGTCAGACTATATCATTGAGTTTCACTCCATAGCGTCTGGCAGCCAGTGGAATGAGGAGGCCCTCACCGATGCGTTCTACAGGGGTTTGAACGACAACATTAAAGATGGCTTGGCAACAAAACGTTACCCTGACTTTCTGCAGGACCTTGAAGACTTATCCACCAGGGTGGATCCAAGACAGGTCCCCTTTCTCTAGCTCGTTCGGCCAAAGACTTCACCAGTTCCCAAACATGTTGGTGAGTTGCGGTTCCAACCACGACCCACTAACCATACACCTCTTTCTCCTCCTCTACCTGCAGAGGAACCTATGCAGTTGGGCAGGAGCTGACTCACGCAGTCTGAACACGAGAGGAGACGCAAGGGACATCTTTGCTTTTACTGTGGAGAGCCAGAACACATCGTCACCAACTGTCCAGTAAAAGGGGTCACTCAGTAGACAAGAGATGTCTACTGAGCCGAACCAGTCCCTAAGAACTCTCCTTACAGTTTATAGTTTCAGCTCATCTCATTACACCAGACAAATCCCAGTCCCTGGTTAAAGTGTTTATAGACTCCGGAGCTCATATCGAATTCATAGACTACGACTTCGCTAAGTCTGTAGGAATAAAACTTTGTAAATCTGCTCATGAACTCTCTGTGGTGGCTCTCGATGGCTATCCACTGAACTCCTCCTCTGATCTGCTACAACCGCATGTCCCACCACGTTCCCTGAGGTCAGTGGACCAGTTGCTCCTCACAGTTCTGGGAACTCGTCTTAAGCACAGAGGTGACAAGGCCTTTCTGTAGCAGGACCAAGACTCTGGAACGAGTTACCTCTGCTTGTCAGACAGGCCCCCTCCCTCTCGGTTTTCAAGTCCCGTTTAAAAACCCACTACTATTCGGTGGCTTTCAACACCAGCTGATCTGTGTTTTGAACCTGTATGCTCCACACTGGTTTGTTGTCATTATCTGCATCGGTTTTATGTATATATTCTGAGTTACTTCATTTTGTATTTTGCTTTGTGTGTTACCTGTTGTTCTGTTTGTACAGCACTTTGGTTGGCTTTGTCGCTGTTTTAAGTGCTCTATAAATTAAATGGTATTGTATGGTATGGTAATTAAGAAACCAGTGGTTTTGTGTCTTGGTGGCAACCACAAAGACAGCCTTACCTTTTTAGTTATTAAATCTCCCCAGGCTCCAATTGTGGTGGGAGCCACGTGGTTAGCCAAACACAACCCTCATCTTGACTGGAGGAGGGAGATTTTAGGGTGATCAGAGGAGTGCTTGACCACTTGTTTATTTGACGCTGTGGTTCCTGTCGAAACCATTACTCCTAATGAGAATTATTATCCAGACCTTTCCAAAGTTCCTAAAGAGTATCAAGATCTAAAAGAGGTGTTTAATAAGACAAGAGCTACTTCACTGCCTCCACACCGCCCTTATGACTGTGTTATAGATCTACTCCCAGGCTCCACTCCTCCTAGAGGTGCGTTATACTCTCTCTCTGCTCTTGAACAACTCTCTATGAAGGAGTACATCCAGGACTCATTACGGTCGGGCATCATCCGACCATCTGCCTCACCTGCTGGGGCAGGTTTCTTCTTCTTCATTAAAAAGAAATATGGCTCGCTTCGTCTATGCATAGACTTTAGAAGACTCAATAAAATCACGATAAAGAACAAGTATCCACTACCACTCATGTATTCCGCCTTTGATTCTCTTCAAGGAGGCAACATTTTCACCAAACTTGACCTCCGTAATGCTTATCATCTGGTTTGTATCCATGAAGGTGATTAATGGAAGACAGCCGCCGTTCATGAAATCCATTCCATAGTTTGAAGCCCACATGCATCATGGATCGGAAATATCAGCATGTGGAATGGAAAAATCCGATACGTAAATTATGCTGGTATTGGAGGCTGATACCGAAACTGGATCGGATCGGCCCCATCCCTACTTGTAACATCATTAGAAAGTATTTTATACAGTACATGGTAATACAGGATATATTTGATGGCCACCACAACCCAACCGAGTGTGTATCTGATAAACAACTGAATCTAAACACCTGTTGCTTGTCACAATAAGGTTTCTCCATAAAAATGTTCAATAGTGGATGTGGGGACCCACAGACCCATCCCCACAGGACATGATGGTAACACAGGGAAGACAGGAACCACAGACACAGCGGCCCCCAAGCCCGGAACTCTAGGAGTCCCCCAACAGGGACACCCGCACCCCCCAGAGAGAGAAGCAAAGGGAAGCCCCGGGCAATCCCCAGCCACCATAATGCAGAAACCCCAGGAGGCTGCAGCAACGAGTCCACAGGCCCAGCTGGCAACCCGCCCCTTTTTTCTAAGGACCTAGATTCCCACCGTAAACACGT